AAGCGTCCTTTGGAAATCAGTGTTCCTACAGCTTGCAGTGGTAAACTTCAAATAGATTGGATTTAACAAAATAATCTTACATGTCAATATGGAGAATCTGCAACCAGCTACATGCTCCACTGGCATAGAGACTGAAACGTGACTGCAGAAAACAAGACCTGTAGCATGCAAACGTGATCTGCAATGCCTTTGGGAGCATGTAGCGGCACTGTAAAAAAAAAAAAAGTGAAATTTACGGTAAAATACTGGCAGCTGTGGTTCAGAACTTCACCGTAAAAAATATGGTAGCAACATTTTAGGTTTTACAGACTTAACTTAAATTCACAATAAAATACCGTATTTCATTAACTGATGTAATGTCAATAAACCAACATATTGAAGTGTTCATATCTGTTTTGAACCATTGTAATGCACTGATAACCACCAAAAACTGCTGGTGATGAGAAAGTCACACGATGGACCAAAGCTCATCACAAACAGCTTTTCTACGAGCTAAGGAGAGCAATACTTATATATAGAAGGTGCACAGTGTCATTCACACAAACATTAAACCCCATCATGGTGACACACTTGATACTGAAATAATGCAATAAACATTAATTTAACAACATTAGATGTAAGATTAAACCCTATTGTACACAACTGATAAGAAAAAACAAAGAAAAACCATGTTATTTCAACAAAAAAACATCAAATATGAAGCGTCAATTTACGTTTTTTCACTGTAAATTATACAAAGACTTTATCTTTTTCACTTCCAAAAAACATATTTTTAACAGTATTTTACTCTAAAATTACATTAAATGTAATTACATTTATTTACCGAGTATAGTATGGAAACTTACTGTTAACCAGTTAACAGGTTTTTACGGTGGCATTTTTAGTCTTTTACTGTTAAAATCACAATCATTTTACAGTGTGGTTGCAGATTCTCTAATGAACATCCATTCTGTACTTTATAGTATTGTGATTTTTAGAGTACTTAAAACATTTGACTTTAATGTTTAATTTTTCATTTATTTTAAAGTGTGTAATTTGAATATCTGTCACATATTGGCTATCCAGACATAACATGAAAACAATTATCAATTTATCGACCAGAAACAGTGCGTCATAAATCAAGGGTTATCAATGATTTATGAGTTAAATGCTCCCCACAGGCTGGTGTGGAGTGGGAGAAATCTGGCTGCGAGCTGTCCATGCTCCAACCCTCATGAAGAGGAGTGTTGTAGAGAATCATGGCTGACAGAGTGTTCCACCGTTGGCCTGAGCTCAGCGTGGGCTCAGAATATAGTCATCAGCCACCTGCTGGAGCAGCATTCCTACAGTCTAATCCTTCAGAGAGGTCAGGGGGCAGCACACCATGTACACTGACTAAGCAGACCCTACCAATACATCACATAGCAGATGCCAGCTTTTACTAACTGAAATCTAACAAAAAAGTAATCCGCAGCTGATTAAAACGCAAACCAATATGTAACTAAGAGAACTACATGGCAGGGCCTTTTATCTGCAAATCAGGAATTGTCAAAATTGGAAATAACAATTTTGACATTAAGACAAGGTCAAGCTCAATCAGAAGAGTGTGTGGGGAATGATGTGAGACACAGACTAATCGTGACTAACAGAAGCTTTGGTGTCTCATGATATGATGACTTCAGGATTCTACTCTCATTTGACTGTAGGACTGTTTCACAGCAACAAAAAGGTACAGTCAAAAATTGTTATAATTTACTTAGTCTCATGTTGTTGCAAACCCATATGACTTTTTTGTAGGTTAGACATGTTTTTTGATTATTACAATTTAATTATACCATTAAAACGGAATCCAGGAAAATGCAGAATTTGGGAAAGCATTATAAAAATGTTATAATATGTTAATTTGGTATTTTAAAATTTGCAACTGGATTTCATAGGGTGCTACAAAAGCTGACTTATTTCAAAGAATCATTCTTTTCAGTCTTTTCAATCAATCAGTTGATCCGATTCACAAAACCGGTTTGAATAACTTGTTTAAGACTGATCTGGATCTCAAGCATCAGTTTACAATCTAGTCAGAAAAGATATTATCATTAAATCCTGTAACTCAACAGAAAAAAAACACACCTTGGTTTCCACAAAAAATATTAATCAGCACAACTGTTTTCAGCATGATAATAAGATATGTTTCTTGAGGACCAAATTAGCATATGATGATTTCTGAAGGATCATGTGACACTGAAGACTGGAGTAATGATGCTGAACATTCAGCTTTGACATCACAAGAATAAATAACATTTTAAATATACAGAAATATAATTTTTTATAATTGTAATATTTCACAGTATGAATTTTTCTACTGTATTTTTGATCATATAAATACAGCCTCGGTGAGCACTAGACACTTCTTTCAAAAATCTTACCAATATATATAACAGAACTGTTGTTAATAGATTTTGGAAATGCGTCAAGGAAGAGGCAACACTTCAGTAAAGTAAGTTGGACCTCCGGCTGTTCTTCTTCCCAGAAGGAAGCCTCTTCTAAAGATGATGCACAAGAAAGCCCGCAAACAGTTTGCTGTATCAATCAATCTGTATCAATCAATCAACAAATCAGCCATGCATAACGCGCATGGACATGCTCATAAAAAAGGGGTGTCTTACTTTTAGTTTAGTATAAGGTCTGTATATAGGAGCTGATCACCAACCATTGGTGCAATCATAGCTGTATTCTGAAAGCTCCTAAGAGCAACACCAATTTACTCCAAAACTCCAAAAAAGACCATTGTGACATTGCAAAAAGCACAAGAGGCCTTGCAGAAAATCGGACAAAATCTCAACATTGGAAAGATGGCAGGAGCAAAAAAAAAAAAAACCGAGACATGGAACAAAACACTTTTAGGATCACATAATTTTTCATTATAATTTTTGCAATATAAATGGTGGCCTTCCATCAAGGACAAATTCAAAATCTATTAAAGGAACAAATTACTCCAAAATGTAAAATTCTGTCATCATTTACTCTTCCTCATGTTGTTATAAAACCATATGACTATCTTGCAAGGCATAGAAAAAGTGAAATTTGTATGGAAAAGAACAGCCTGTACATTCTTCACTTACAATAAATGGAAACCGGAGCTTTCAAGCATCTAAAAGGATGTAAAATCAACATATTTGTAATCATTTTTCCACCATAAATAAACAAATAAGTAAATGAATGAAAACTAAAAACTTAAAATGAAATTAATTTAAATAAAATTAATTAAAATACAATACTATTCAAAAGTTTTAATGTTCTTTATATTTATTTTATTTAATACTCACCAAGGGTGCATTTGTTTGATTAAAAAACAAACAAACAATGCAAAAAAAACTGTAAAATGGTAATATTGTGAAATATTACAATCCAAATTTAGGCATCATAACTTCAGTTTTCAGTGTCACGTGATCATTCTAATATGCTGATATGGTGCTCAAAAAAACTTTTATCATCATCAATGTTGAAAACAGTTGGGCTTAATATTTTTTTTTTTAGAAATTGTGATACATTTAATGTGTTTGATGCATATAAAGTTCAAATAAACAGTGTTTATTTAAAATTGAATATTTTTGTAAAAATGTAAAAGTCCTTACTCTCACTTTTGAACTCATATACCGACCACTTTCTGAATCTTGAAACCTTCAATCTCCATTCACTGTAACTGCATGAAAAAGAGCAACTGTTAAATTCTCCAAAATTTCTTCTTTTATGTTCTGCAGATAAAATAAAGTTATACGGGTTTGGAATGACACCATTTCATGAGTAAAAAATATAAATTTTCTGCAGCTGAAAAGCATTAGCGTAAACAAAGAAAATCCTGACATCTGCCCTAATGGGCATAACATCATGTTACCTGCTCTACTAAGTGTAAAAGGGGTGTTTAAAGAGTGGCCAGAACAGATGTTAATGTCAAGATGGATATGCTCTGTTCAGTAGATCTTTCGGTTTACTCTCCAATCGCCCATCACATCAGACTTCCAGAGAAAGCACAGGCATGCCTGCAATAATGCAAAGTGTGTCAACTCCTAGAGCTGTGTCACAAATAGCAAAGAGTGGAAGTTTATTGTAAGAATTTTTATGGCTCGCTGGAATCTCACTCAACCATAAAAATGACCTAGCCCAAACTGATCGCTCACTGTGTGGTTGTTAATCACATTCAGAAATGGATAATAACCTTAAATGTTAATAATAAGGCTACTCGATTATGCCATCAAAATAAGCCCCACATGGCAGAAACCAAAATCGAGGTTGTTTCAACAGGTGGAGGGAATACTGCGGCACACAGTGTGACGTTCTTCCTGTTGTGTTTGCACCTGTTACAATGTCTAAATGAATCAGAAGTCTGAAAACAAACATCCTGCTGGGACTCACTCATGTCCTCCCACAGAAGTTATTTATCTCCCAGAGAAATAAATAAGTCAGCAGTGCTGCAGAGAAGCAGACATCATTTATGAAGCTGGGATCATACACGATATTACCAACCAAGGAGGTGCAGGGATCTGATTATACCCTTAAAAATAAAGATTCCAAAAGGAGGTTTTCACAGTGATGCCATAAAAGAACAGCTTTGGTTGCACAAAGAATCTTTTGCTGAACAGTTCTTAAGAACCATTTTTTTCTTAGAATATATAATTTATAACCTTATAGAACCTTTTGTGCAATGGAAAGGTTCCATGGATGTTCTTCATGGAACTATAGATGCTGGTAAAGAACCTGAATTTTAAGTATGCAGGCAACTATTATGAAACACCCTTTCAATTGTGTTATCAAAAAAGAAGGTAATACGTAATTGTAAAACCAGCAGGAATCAATGACAAAAAGTGCACGAGTTGGTTAAATTGGTAAAGAGCGTATTTTAAATATTAAGTTTGACCCTGAACAACCCTGTAGTAAGTACACGTAGTTAATTAATATTTCTCAGTACTTGTGTAAGTATACTGTGTAACCATAAAAAGTGCGCAAATAAATAAGAAAACATTTACCGCTTGCGTTCTTGCCACAAATGAGGTGCTGATACGGCTGCAAAAGACCCCACAGCTCCGAATCGTTATTTATGGCCTGTTCCAGGGACTCCACGGAAAACTTTGGCACTCCGTTCTCCTTCTCCACCAGCGCGCTCCTCTGTACCCGACTGACCACCTCTCGGAACAGGCTCTCAATACAGGCACTCAGGTAGATCGCCGCGTGCTCGTGGATGCGCAGGGCCACCCGGCTATCCACCATCCACCTGAAGAACTTCCCTACGGAGAAGACGAGTCCGCACCTGGCTGACTTGCCCCGGCTGAACTTATCGCCCGTGCTCATGTTGTAAAGCGACAGCGCGCTGAGCGCCGCAGTGATGCAGTTCACGGAGATGGTCCACGAGAGGACCATCTTGATGGCGCTCTGGATCTCGTGCTTGGTGCATCTGGCGTAACGCAGACTCAGGCGCTGCGCCTCCCGGGCGATCCTCACCAGCGCGCGGCTGACCAGCGCGGAGAGTTTGGCTAGGATCTCCCGCGACGCGTTCCCTATGCACAGTTCCTCGTCTTTCCGCAGCGCGCCTTCCACCTCTCCAAGACTCCACGGCACGTCCTCCTCCAGCTCGGGCAATTTGGCGCACTGGCCCGAGCACTCTAGGATCTCCGTGTCTTCCGCCAGGACGGTGTTGACCGTGTCCAAACTGTTGTGTCTGCTGTGCATGGATTCAGTCAGATGCCAGCAGTTGCCCCCATGCGCATACGACAGATGCGTGTCCGAGCAACAGAGCGACACGCTGGACGACCTGAAGGAATCCGCCGCTCCACCATAACCGGAATCGAGCGTTAAATCCTCCAGCGTCCTCGCAGCTGTCTTACCCTTGCCTGCCATGGCTGCACCTCATAATGCTAGGCTTATGCCTGATATTTTAAAGAAAGACCAAAGCGCGTTCCTGTGGCGCGCCCTGTCCTCGGAGCAGTAGAGGAATGTATTGCCACCTAATTTCACGCGCAAACACAAATCTACAAGCGCGCGCAGTAACAATTCGTTTAGTGTTTTGGTAAGTTACCAGAAAAAAAAATTATCTCCAACGCGCGCCTCTGATCCCAACTTTGCGTGCGTAATTCGAGAGCTCAGAACGCCTTCACCAACCACTGCATCATTCGCTGCAAATCCACTCATCTGGGGAGGAGCTATGCAAATAAACCACTCATAGGAGGAGGGACTATGTATATAAATCACTCCCAAGGAGGGAGGGACTATGCAAATAGAAAATAACATGATCAATTCAACAGGCTCCAAAAGTGCATGGGTGCCTTTCTTTTTACTTTCAAAACAAAAAATCAATCAGAAAAATAGTCTCAAACTAATAGCGTCTTCAAATATTAAAACTATTATATAAATATGTATAGCTAAACAAGGCATCACATATATAAGCAAATTGCATATTTTGATTGAAAAATATATTTCGCAGTATCTGCATATATGTAAAAAGAATAATTAAATACATATTAATATTTATGAATTATTTACATATTGTTAGAATATTATAAAATGATCAATGATGTCAATATTAATAATAACTATTTTTATATGATATATATGGAACAAGATACAGGCCTACCTCATGATATCTTTTAAACACTCTTCTCTCTTACCAACTAGACATGCTTCTCTTTAGCCGGAGGATGTTTACGCGATGATTCTGAAATTTGTAGATGAAAGCAATCGCTTGCACAGCTTCTGCACCTTTCATCTGTCGCTATCCGTCTAAAATTACTTCAGAATTGTCAAAAAGTTCTGGAATGGAACAAGCACGATATACGAGAACGGATTTAAAAACGTCCAAAGACTTTGTGTGTTTAAATATGCAAGTGTTCTGGCATGAAAATAAACTAATTGTTTTGACGTGAGAAGCCTCGCAGTCTGTCTCCTTATCAAGTTCATTATTAATACGCATAGAAAGCGACGTTTGGTGCATTGATGGAGAATTCTTGCGTATTTGGTGCTCTCTATAGGTGATATCGAGTAATAGCCTTTATTCTGTACTTGATATTCCTCTATTCCTCTAGATTTGTGACAGAACAAACACAGAAAATAATACCACAACTCATCGAGAAAATTACTAAATATTATACAAAACACTAGATGCACATACATACACTAAAGATGGTAGATGGAATACATTTAGCAGGGCTTGTGAATACTAGGGCAAAATAATTTGGCAGTAAGATTGTATAATAGACCCTATGATTTCCACTTGACGGTTCAGTGTTCACAGCAAAAAAACAAAAAAACAAACAAAAAAAAATAACATGCTGTTTACGACCATTATTACCTTTTTACAGATAAAGATATTTTGCTTATTACATATATATATATATATATATATATATATATATACTGTATATATAGCTTATTACAAAAATTATCAAAAATTATTATCAAAAAAGTAATTTCTATATTAAAATCTACATTGAGTCTCCATTGCATCTAATGTAACACTGTCTAATATTCTTATTAAAATCTTATCTGATACTCATCTAATTTCATTTTCATTAAATCAGTAATGTACAATAAAATATACATTTTCAACAGAAATAAACTAATTCTATTAGTTCTGTAGTGTTTTACACTATTAAAGGCACAGATTTATCTGACTAGCATTCAGTCTTAGCTATAATAAAAACAATTAGGCTTTTAATCACATTTCATCCATTCTACATATTATATTAATTACCTTATATATGCACTGTGCATTTGAATAAATTAGTGCACAGCAGCGGCAGGCTGGGATACAGAGGTTGGCCTTTCTTAATTGAGATTTCTCCTTCACATTTTCTTCCATGATTGCTTGTTGCCTGGAAACACAAAGGCGACAATATATTTGGTGCCTATGTATAACTTACATAAAAAATCCATCTTATGGATACACAGAGGCCATTACGGTTATATCAGGACAAAAAGAACAAGTATAATAAGAAATCTGTAATTAAGTCTAGAACTCCAGATTCACTCCTCCTCTGGAAGGTTTAATATACAAATTCTATCGTTCATGTTATATGGTTGGCGATAAATTGCATAAGTAACTTCATTCAGATAACTACATTCAGACATTTTTCAAGCTACCATTTTGCTGAAACAGCAACATGCATACATAAATGATGTTGCATAGAAAGAAAAATGATGGTGAGATATTTTATATATTTATATTTTTAATAGATTGAACATTTGGCCCACTTGACATCTAGGAATGTGGAAAAATAACTCATTCTTGTTCAAATGGTGAGGCAGTAACTGAAAATTATTTCAAATGATTTGCTTTCATCATTTGCTTTTCAGCATCATTAACCATATAATATGACCATTATTGATTCTGAATCGGATCAGTTCAAAAATGAGTTCAAAATGAACTTTGTAAATGCTTTTAACAAATATTTCAAAACATACTGACTTATAGGCAGTGTGAATGCAGACAAGTTAAAATGAGATTAAACGGAGGAATAGTTCAACCAAAAATAAAAACTTGCTGGAAATGTATTTACCCTCAGGCCTTCCAGAACTCTCATTCTGACGGCACCCATTCACTGCAGAGGATTCACTGGTGAGCAAGTGATATAATGCAACATTTCTCCAAATCTGTTCCAATGAAGAAACAAACTACATCTTGCAGGGGCGAGTACATTTTCAGCATTTTCATTTTTGGGTAAACTATTCCTTTAATAACAGGTGCTCTTCTGATTTCATGCTTCTCTTACCTATGCTCTTCTATCAAACACATCAAGGACATCATAGCGTATCCACTGATGCAGGTCTGAACTGAAAGAAATGTTGGAAAATGCGCACATGATATATATTTCTTTACTAATGATCAACAAATAATACTCTTTAAATACAGCTGTGCTCAAAGCTTAAACAGCCCTTGCAACAAAAAAAAAGTTGCATATCATACACTAAAATGCAAAATAACTGAAATTATACAAATGATCTTGTTCAAAATTGCACACATCCTTGGTTCACAATGTGTGTCTAGTGGCTGCTTTTGATAGGTGTGAATGCATCCCTTAATTCAGTTCAATTCTCAACTCCTTGTGACCCACTGCTTTGCACATTTTGTATGCCTCTCATATCTGACACACTCGGTTCAGTTCATGGAGCTCCCTTCTAATGAGCTGATGATGTGAATCAGGGGCGTTAAATTAGAAAAACTAAATGTGCAGCGCAGCAGGGGTTGAGAACCACCACCTTAATTGTCCCTGGTGACAAAGCTGGAGCATCAAAACTCAAATGTGCAGAGTATGCTGGGACCCTACATGACTGTGGGCTGTAAACAAACCAGGGGGAAAGAGTCATTGATGCTTGATACGACAATACATGGTACTGGTGTAAGCATATTTACAAGATCATAATTATTTTGTCTTTTGCAGTATAAGCAAATATCTATTATATTAAATAGCTAGAATAATCAACAACTACATAGTTAACAAAATGCAATTTAAACAGAGATGTACGAAATATGACCAGAATAGCATTCATGCAGATCACTGATGTCGTTATTGTGTTAAGAAAGCCCAAAAAAGCCCTGTCTGCGAACATTTCTTGTAAAAAAAAAAAAAAAAGAAAAAAAAAAGAGAGATTTTAACAGCACGTCTCAACGCCATCTCGCTTCAGGAAAACACATCGCACTGATGCGAGCTTGCTCATGTAGCTGCTCATGTGCCCATCCGGGTACTGCAGCTCCAGCCAATCAGCTTCGAGGACTGAACACCAAAGTCCTTTACGGTCTTTATGTGGTGGCAATGTATATATCAAACCTTGCTATGTTTACAGGGGCGTTAAATTAGAAAAACTAAATGTGCAGCGCAGCAGGGGTTGAGAACCACCACCTTAATTGTCCCTGGTGACAAAGCTGGAGCATCAAAACTCAAATGTGCAGAGTATGCTGGGACCCTACATGACTGTGGGCTGTAAACAAACCAGGGGGAAAGAGTCATTGATGCTTGATACGACAATACATGGTACTGGTGTAAGCATATTTACAAGATCATAATTATTTTGTCTTTTGCAGTATAAGCAAATATCTATTATATTAAATAGCTAGAATAATCAACAACTACATAGTTATCAAAATGCAATTTAAACAGAGATGTACGAAATATGACCAGAATAGCATTCATGCAGATCACTGATGTCGTTATTGTGTTAAGAAAGCCCAAAAAAGCCCTGTCTGCGAACATTTCTTGTAAAAAAAAAAAAAAAGAAAAAAAAGAGAGAGATTTTAACAGCACGTCTCAACGCCATCTCGCTTCAGGAAAACACATCGCACTGATGCGAGCTTGCTCATGTAGCTGCTCATGTGCCCATCCGGGTACTGCAGCTCCAGCCAATCAGCTTCGAGGACTGTCCTTTACGGTCTTTATGTGGTGGCAATGTATATATCAAACCTTGCTATGTGTCATTTGCACATACAGCAATTTTAAATAATATTTACAATTTTATGCAATTTATATAAACAATAACACTGTAATAATATGCATATTAACAAAAACTATATCAAGGCTATTGTTCATTCACAATACCTAATGAACAGCATTTTATAAAGTATAACTGGTTAGTATGTTAGTTAATCACATCAAAGGAACGCGACTGAGGATCAAGTACGTCACACTAGGGCTTGACCAAACAAAACGCGCTATTTCATGTGCGCAATCAGCTAGGTGGAGTTTAAGTCGACCGACTGGATTGCATTGCTGAGAGTGTATGGGACCTTCGCCGTGGGGAAATATTAATAAGTGGACGTAACGTTGAGGGAAAACAACCAAGACACGTTGAATACCTAATATGAGGTCTCATTTCATTCGGGCTTTTGCGAAAGTTGCCTGTAACGCGGTTACAAGGGGCTCGAGGGAATATTAATATTTACATAACCGCGCTGATTTCGGGCTTGCGCGTCTTACTCCGTATTGACTTCAGCTGGAAGACTGCGCGCATTGAGATTCAAGTCAACTCACAGGTCAACTTGCTTTAAAGGCCAGATATAAAACATGTACAGTATTGTTGATTATTTTGGATAATTCTGGAAAACAAGTTATACAACAGGGAAGTGTACTTTGCGTTGCGCCCTGGTCCTAAAGCCAGTCGTGTATTC